ATGTTGGTGGCCAGCTTGGATTTTGATGTGGCAGACCAGTTTTCAATAGTGACCTTTCTTACCCCTAAATGCAGCGATACACCAAATTGGAAGTGGACACTTTGCTTATTTTTGAAGTTATCCAGCTCACCGGACAGACGGGGGCGGTATGTCCAGTTCTCTTCGCTCCATGATGGGGGACAGTAAAGCCTGAGGTGACGTGTGTTTTTGCCATCATTTCCATTGTACTAGCTCTAACGGTCTTGTCCTAGTCTTGCATATAAATCGTGTTCCTTGCTCTCATTTTGTTAAGACAGGAATACAAACACAGCTGGAGCCTGATTTGTGCCAACACGACTTAAACTTGATCTAAACTGACTTGCTGTGTTTACTGTTAATTACAGTTTTCTGTCTGCTTCCTAACTTGGATCTTTAGAACTTAGCAGCACCTAAATGCCTCGTAATAGTTACTTTAGTTACTTTGAGTAAAGAAAGAGATTTACAAATATGAAGTTGTCACCACCAGTGGTCCCTAACGTTTCATAGAGCCCAGTTTTTATGATCTGATTGGTCAGAGGAGCGGTACTCCTCAGTTTACCCGTGGTTCTGAGTTTGGGTGTGCAAGCCTTTTGGTTCTGTGGGGATTGGGTGCTTGAATAAAGCAGCTTTGTGCCTCGTGAACTTGAGCCACAAGTACCAGCTGGTGAGCAGTTATGCAATCACAGCGGAGAGCTCCTCACGAAGTAGATACTGTATATCGCCACATTGTCACACCCACTCGAATGCGTGACACCCACACCTCGCTCTCAGCCCGGGGCACTTTGCTCTGACTCCACCGCTCACACACACAAACGCATAGTCACACCCTCCTCCAGATCGAATGTGGTGCAGAGTCGGAGAACAAGATGGTTGTAAGACGAGGCAGAGGGAGATTACTGATCCAGTCCTCACCTCCCACTCTGAACGGGTCTGGATCAACAGTCAGGCTTAAGGCTGTGACCTCATTTGTTGCCTGTTTGGCAGAGATGCTCCAGTCCAGATGCGGATCCCGTGAGGAGGTGGGGCGAAGAGCAGGAACTGATCCCAGTTGTGTCAGAAAGCATGTGGGTGTTGTGTTTTTCTGTGTTGCTGGTCATGTTGAGACAACAGTTGTGTATTAACGCTGACAACAGGAGGATTGGTTCAGTCCGCCTGAACAATGTTTGTGGGCTGGTTTGTGACGCGGTGTCTGCGTGTGCTCATAAATTATATGGTTGACAGCAGCTGGAATTACATGAATGTGAAATAAAACAGCATTATTACTTTGAGAAGCCTTTTTGTTTAGGTTTTTTGTTTAGCTTAAAATGTTTTATCATTCTTTTGCTAGCACAGTAAAAAAAAACACCTTGTGGATAAGATTGAGGCTCAGAACGTTCTGTTTTGCTCCACAGGACCTAAATGAACCACCTGCAGTTTTAAGTGAAACATTAGACATCTGATCAGCTTTGGCTTGTGTTGTAAATCAGCCTTCACGTCCTGAAGGATGAAGTGTATATCTTGGTGTATATCTTAGATCCTTATATACTGCTTCTTGTTACTTTTTATATTTTTGCTGGTTTTGATGTAACTGGGACCCTGAATACATAATTTCGTTCCACCTCATGTACCACACGTGATGAGAATGACAGTAAAGTTGACTTGAACTTGAAGCCTCGGCCTGTCTTTGTCTCCACAGGAAGATCTGCGTGCACTGTAAGTGTGTACGGGAGGAGCATGTGGTGCGCTCGGTACCAGGGCAGCTGGAAAAGATGATGACCAAGCTCGTGTCGGACTTCCAGAGACACTCCATCTCTGATGACGATTCGGGATGTGCCTCGGAGGAGTACTCGTGGGTCCCACCTGGGCTCAAGCCCGAACAGGTAAGAAACCAGGGTGCAGAACAGCCTCGAAGTCAAGCTATAAATTAATGCTACACAGACACGGGAGATGCTCCGACTTCCCTGAACGTGTTCGAGCAGAAACTCAAACTGTTAGATAGTTTGCAAGGCAACGAGGAAAACATTCTCATTAGGATTTATGTCAGCACTTGAATAAAACGCTCTGTAATCTGATAAATTGCTGTTTGTAGTCTCTCATTTCTGCCTTTATATGAACATACTTGCCTTCTCATGCAGGTGTACCAGTATTTTAGCTGCTTACCAGAAGACAGGGTTCCTTATATGAACAGTCCAGGGGAGAGATACAGAATTAAACAGCTGCTGCACCAGCTGCCGACCCATGACACTGAGGTAACATCGCCTCATACGATACATACAACCCTCTCAGAAAGAACCAGCAGCGTGACCGTTAATGAAAACAGCTGTGATCTTAATGATTTAGTTTTTTTGTTTCAAACCTGTGTTTCCTTCAGCCTCAGTACTGCAACTCTCTGGACGACGAGGAGAAAAAAGAGCTGTGTCTCTTCAGCCAGCAAAGAAAGAAAGAAAACTTGGGCCGAGGTGTTGTGAGACCTTTCCCTGTGACGATGACTGGCGCCATCTGCCAGCAGGTGCAGACTAGTATTTTACATCTAGAAAGTGTAGCAGATGTGATCATGTGTAGCACAGTATCACTGCACAGATGTTGAAGCTTGTGTGTCAGAGCCCTGCAGGCACAGAAGGACCACAGCAGCTGAGATTTACTGATCACAGGGCTGTGCGAGCAAATTACTGTGCAAATTAAAGTTGTCGTCCTTTGGTAACTGTACCGTCTAACTTCCTGCTGTTTGAACCCCGCCCAACCACATCCATGTTTCCAGTGTGGCAGACACATCAGCGGTGGAGATATCGCTGTGTTTGCGAGTCGGGCGGGACACGGCTGCTGCTGGCACCCTCAGTGTTTCCAGTGTGCGTCCTGCAGCGAGCTGCTGGTCGATCTGATCTACTTCTACCAGGATGGACAGATTTACTGCGGCCGGCACCACGCTGAGAGGCTCAAGCCTCGCTGCCAGGCCTGCGATGAGGTGACTGATTAATTTTACTGTCCTAATCTCTTTTTGCTATTTATAGATTGTTCCGTTAGTCTCTTTTGTTTTGACAGGCCTCTTACTGTGACTTGAGAGATTAGTTGAAACAGTTTACTGATGGACAGGCTACAGGCTGAGATACAGACAGGCATCACTGTTCTGTTTTATTTAACTAAGCTGTCAGCATCTCGTGATTGTTGTTTGCTCCGTACTAACAACAAACAACTGAACTCTTATTTTTACAGACTTGAGATCAGGCCTCTTCAAGCACAAGAATTTTTAAAGACTTATCATTGCATGATATTCAGCGTTTACAGAAACTGGAATTTTATAAAATGCAGAATTTTAATGTTTGTTGTTAGGTTAAGTCACGCTGCTTTGGTGATGAAACATCAGACAGTGCTGCTAAGAGAGCCTCTATAACCTTAGTGGTGGGCACAGCTAACCAAAACATTAGTTTCAGTAACCGATAATTTGCTAACTAAAAATTAGCTTTGCTAACACTAAACATTTAATATGAACTTGGAAAAAGGGCCTTCTCCTACTCCGCTCCTGTTTCCTGGAATATCTTGCAAAAAGATCTGAAGCTCTCGACCTTGACCTCTCTAAGTGACTTTAAACATCTGTTAAGTTCCTGGGAAAAACCAATGCAGACATGTTCCTGTTTTTAGTTTTCTACACCGCCTTGTAATCTTAGCTGGGTTTTTTTGCTACGTTTCTTTCTCCTTTTAATTATCATTTTGCTTTCAATTGTTAGAAAAACCCCAACAAAATACAAATTTGTATGAATCATTTGTGAATGTCTGTTGTTGTCGTTGTTATCTACTGTTGTCATCACTCTTTGTTAAAATCCAAGTTTCTTTTGTACATGAGTCCTCGTGGCTCAGTGGGACTAGCCTGTTTACAGAAAGGTTGAATGATTGAAAATAACAGATTTTTAAAAAAATTATCGAAAGCTAACGGTAAAGTGTTAACTTTTATCATACCCTGCTGTTGCTGACACTGTAAGACTGTCTGTTACGTGACAACCTTTCATGAATCACAAGTAAAGCGTCCATGTCCTGCTCAGAGGTGAGCTTTCAGAAATTAATCCCATCCATCAGAACAGAACTCTGCAGTGCTGAAGCAGAGTGATGCATTCAATGTATGTCGGACATCTCCCTCGTGTCATTTACTATAATGAATTCTCACTTTAGCTATTCTCTTTGTGGTTAACTACTTTTATAAACTAACTACAAAATTGCTGTGCATCACCATCAATATCCTCTCAGTAATAAATCTGTTTGTATTAAAGTAAAGATGTGTGAAATCATGTGTGAGAGAGTCACGTCCCAGAGACAGAGTGAGTGTTGCCAAGCATGCTGGGTATGAATTATGTGTGCAATGTTTCAGACTGTTTACAAGGCTTCTGACTGTTTACAATGTTTCAGACTGTTTACGAGGCTTCTGATTGTTTACATTGTTTCTGTTTACAATGTTTCTGACTGTTTACAATGTTTCAGACCAGTTCTGCTTGTGATAAGATGGTCTCTTTGGTACACCCCCTCCTCCATTGCCAGCCCTCTTCCTTGTTGACAGTCTTGTCAAACTGGTTGAAAACAACAAAGTCCATGCTCAATAATCCAGGTATACAATCCAACATTTTTCAGTCAGGTCATCTGGTTTGTTCCACTTTGGAGTAAGCTGTTGGGGGAAGAATCAGTTTTGTTGTGTGTTTCCTTGACTGATGAAGCCTTCTGGATCGAAGGCGAAACGTTTCAGCACAAAAAAAGATGCTGTCCAGATGACCTGACTGAAAAATGTTGGATTGTATACCTGGATTATTGAGCATGGACTTTGTTGATGTTTCTGACTGTTTACGGTGTTTCTAACTGTTAACAATGTTTGACTGTTTCTGATGTTTCTGACTGTTTACGATGTTTCTGACTATTTACAATGTTTCTGACTGTTTACAGTGTTTCTGACTACAACATTTCTGACTGTTTACAACGTTTCTGACTGTTTGCGATGTTTCTGTTTCTGACTGTTGACGATGTTTCTGTTTCTGACTGTTGACGATGCTTCTGACTGTTTGCAATGTTTCTGAGTGTGAAAATAAATTTTCATGTTTTTTTTCCTATTCTGGTTTGGCATTTAAAAGTCTGTTGTTGGCTGTAAACTGGCATGATGAGGCAGAGACTGTTTACTGGAGAAATGAGCGGGGGGTGGGGGGTGACATTACCGGGTGGCACTTAGCTTTGCTTTACTCTGCACAGAATAGCATATTATGGCATCGCTCCACTCAGTGTAAATCATCATTCTTCTGTACGCTTTCAGTGTGGAGAACTGTCTTTAAAAGAACTAAGCAGACGAATTTCATCCATCCATCCATCCATCCATCCATTATCTTTACCCGCTTGTTCCACTTTGGGTCACGGGGGCGTGCCCATGTCCAGCAATCACTGTGCGAGGGGCGGGGTACACCCTGGACGGGTCGCAAGTCCATCGCAGGGCCACATAGAGACAAACGAGACAAACAACCATTCACTCTCTCATTCACACCTAGGGACAATTTAGAGTTACCAATCAGACTAACATGCATGTTTTTGGTCTGTGGGAGGAAACCGGAGTACCCGGAGAAAACCCACGCATGCACGGAGAGAACATGCAAACTCCACCCAGAAAGGCCCCTGGACCGGGGTTTGAACCAAGGACCTGCTCACTGAGAGGCAGCAGCTCTACCAGTTGCGCCACCGTGCTGCCCAGACTTGAATTTATCATATTTAAATTTATTGGAAGCTATTTCTACTAGTTATTCAAAGTTAGTGAAACCACTAATCCGCTAAACAGAAAGTTATTTCCTCTACTAGTGGATTAGTGCCCAACCTTGATAACAAACTGCATGATCTGTTCACAGGAGACCAAACCAGACACGGTCACGTAGTTTTTACAATGTACTGGTCACACATGTTTTATTGAAGTGATGGAGAACCGTTGTTATGTATTATAAGATGAGTTTGTCTGTGTTTTTTTTTTTTTACTGTATTTTACTTTCCTATTCTGATGTGAGGACAATGTTTTTCCTGTAAAAACATTAAGGAAAAATGTTTTATTTTTATATATAATTTGTTATTATAGTTCCTTGTTTTAAATAAGCTGCATTTATTTCACCTTGTGGTCATGATGCAGCCATTATTGCTGACATGGCTACAAATCTACTATTGTTTGCTCTGTCCATGGATGATGTCTCTGTCTTTGCCTGCAGATTATTTTAGCAGATGAATGTACAGAGGCTGAGGGGAGATACTGGCACATGAAGCACTTCTGCTGTTTTGAGTGCGAGGCTGCACTGGGGGGTCAACGCTACATCATGAAAGAGACGAGACCATACTGCTGCTCCTGTTACGAGTCCCTGTATGCAGAGTACTGTGATACCTGTGGAGAGCACATAGGTACTAGAAACACTTATTTTATGACATTGACCTGCATTAGATTATAATAATCCATGCAGATGTTTATAAGCGGGATCATATTTGTGTTAGGTATTGACCAGGGCCAGATGACATACGAGGGTCAGCACTGGCACGCAGCCGAGTCATGTTTCTGCTGCGCCCGCTGTCGCCTGCCACTGCTCGGCCGTCCCTTCCTCCCACGCAACAGGCTCATCTACTGCTCCAGGTCCTGCTCACTCGACGAGGACCCCAATAACTCAGACTCCTGCGACTCGGCGCTGCAAAGCAAATCTCCTCACAGCAAACGGTGGCAGGCGCCACAGAGACCGCGTCAGCCACCGTGTGGTTCTCCACTGCAGCCACCAGAGGGCAGCAACCCAAATACAACTCCTGCACAAGACTGCGCTCATCCTGCGGTGGAAAACAAAGGTGAGCACGAGACACAAGGCATTAGAAGTTGTTTTGGTGCCAGGGAGTTTTTAAATTTCATTTGAACTTTGTACATTCAGTGCCTTTATTTCACCATGATTGTTTGTTGTGATGCTCTCAGGGCTCCACTGCAGCACTCCTGTTCAGAATGGAGTTTCTTCATCCAGCGGTCATCTTTATCCAAAAGGCTCCTACCCACCTCTGCCCCATATTTATCTGGGAAAAGGCTCGGGTCCATCCTGGCCCAGCAACATTCCACATTACAGTCTGCTGCCAGGGGGCTGCGGTATCAAACGTCCAGGCAGGGATCGGCAGGTCCACGGAGAGCTAAATGGAAATGCTGCACTGATCGGTCATAATTCAAAAGGAAACTCCACTGAAAAAGATTGTAGGAAATGGGTGGAAAAGACAAACCAGGCAATGCAAGGTAGCAGAAGTCCAGCACGCTCAGAGTTCAGACTAAATGTGTCCTAACTCCAGTTTGTTCTCTCCACAGCGTTTCCTCCTCAGATAAACTCGCACGTTATTGAGCTCGTTTCGTCTGACTCACCTCCACCCCCATTGGACAACTCCCCCAGCCTCCCACCCCCTCTCCCTGTTAAGTCTCGTGACTTGACGCCCCACGGTCCGGCCCTTCAGACTCTGGCCCAAGCAGAGAACCGACCCCCTGATTCTCCACCCCCGCTGACACGCAGTGGAACAGCCAGGGTCAGCTTCAGAGAGCCAATCAGCAGCAGCTACTCAGTAGAAGACGATGAGGAGGAAAATGAGGAAGAGCTGCACCCAAAAGGTGAAGAAAATCAGCAGGATGAACAGGATGATGAGGAAGAGGAGGAGGAGGGAGGATTCAGAGGCAGGTTGCATGTGCAGACCAACATCCCTCCACAGATGGATCTGCTGGGTGAGGAGAAGGTTCCAGTCATTAAATTTCACCCAACTCACGTTTGTCCAGTTTATTGTGTGAATTAATTTTTGTGCTATTTCAACAAATCATATCAAAACATTCAGCTCTTTCAGGACAATCCTGCTAGTACTTTTGTATTGATGCAATTTGAAATATTTAGCCTTTTCTGCCATTTTTTTCCTCATAGAAAAATGAATTGAGCTCATTTTAAATCCTTCAAATGTTTATATCTGTTTACAACCTTTTACTGCTCTTTTCACATTTTGTTCTGGTTCAGCTTCTTTTAGCTTCATTGTGCAAATTTAAACAATTTTTTTCAGCTACTTTCAGCTGTTTTTTCAGCTGATGCTGTGCTCCTTTCAGATTGTTTTTGCTAACTACAACATTTTTGTGCTTCTTCTAACATCTTCCTTTTTATGCTCCTTTCAGCCTATTTATACAAATTTTAGCTTTAGCTGCTATTTCATCTACTTTTTAGTTGTTTTCTGCTAATTTTAGTTTTTTTTTCAGCTAATTCCATGTTTTTTGCACTCATTTCAACTTTTTCACCTTAATTTTGTAATAATGTGCTTTCTCCACTTCCTTCAGGTAACTTATGCTTCTTTCTGCTTTTTAGCTACTTTTCAGCTATTTTTGCTAATTTCAGCTTTTTTCAAGCTAATTTCTTAAACTTTGTTCTCGTTTCTGTTAATTTAAACATAATTCAGCAAATATCTGTTCTTTCTACTTTCTTCTGCTAACTTTGGCTTGTTTCAGCTACATTTCAGGATGTATTTTAGCTAATTTCATCTGTTTTTCATCAAGTTCTTCAGCAATAAGTACGGTGGCCGATGGGTGCAAATGCGCAGCAAACGGCCAAACACGCAGCAAATGGCAAAACGCGCAGCAGACACATGTATGATGCAAACTCAAAGACACGCAAACGCATAAAAACAAATGCAAACAAAAAAAACTAACGTAAACACATAAAAACAAATGCAAACACATAAAACCAAACGCAAACACATAAAAAAAACGCAAACAAAAACACATGCAACAGAAAAACGCTGTGTTTTTGTGTTTGCGTGTTTATGAGTTTGCATCATACGTGTGTTTGCTGCGCATTTGACCATTTGCTGCACGTTTGCACCTGTCGACCACTGTAAATAAGCATTCACACTACATTTTCGCAGGAAATGCAATTTCTCTAGTTTTTTTTCTCGTTTCTTTTTTCAACCAGATGACTCCTCCTCATATCAGTGCAACACGAGGAGAGTTTGGGGGCGATGCCGCGCTCCTTCAGACCCTGTTCTCTACCCAGGTTCGGAGAGGCCTTCCCAAACCCCGCGGCCTGACCGGCCTCAACTCGACTCTCTGGACCCTCGAGGTGAGAACGAGAGAGATGGCCGGAGCTCCTTCAGTGCCTCCTCACTTATCCTCCAGCCGGGACAACACAAACATGGAGACTCGTGTTCTACCTGCTCCTCCTCGTCAGACTCTGAGGAGGAGGGCTTCTTCCTGGGACAGCGCATTCCTCTGCCCCCACAACTTCAAAAGCCGCAGCCTGAGGAGATCCAAGTCCAGGAGTCAGAGGAGAGAGGGGAGATCCAGAGAGACTGGAACCTGAGAGGCAGCATGAGGAGAAGAGCTCTCAGCATGGGTGCAAAGGACAAAGATAAAAACTGTGTTGTCTCCTGAAAGAACAGCCTCCTGCACAAAAACACGTGTCGTCCTACACACCTGTCACATGGAGTCGCTGCAGAACTTTGTACTCCGAGGTATTACAGAGGAGGAAACGATGCCCTGTGAATCATTCAGACTTGTGCTGTAACTGTATCTGTAAATGCTACTGCTCTGTTACATTAGAAACAGTTACATGTACAAACTTGCTGTAGCACATTTTACCCTTAGAGGTGATAATAGAAGCAGGTTTCATATGAGCTCTTTTTATATCGTGGTGTGATCTGTTTTTGTGCTGCACACAACATGAAACTGCAGAGGAAGTGCTAAAATAAACATTTGTAGAACAAAATCAGTCTCCTGCTGCTCCTCATTAAACCACACTGTGTCTCCCTGCATTATTTCATACTAAATGTTACCAAAGATTACACATTGTGAACAAAAGCAGCAGGAGTCATTCTGTGATTTTAGGTGCAATCTTCATGTGGCCTCATCATCTTAACTTGTTGCTACAAAAGATGTTAGTCTGATGATACAAGATGATTTGTTGTGATGTTCAATCAATAAACTTTGAGGGTTTGTTTTTGTCTCTACAGAGTGGCCACTGTTAGTGCAACATTTAGTTTTTCTCTGATTGTCTCGTGCACTGTACATGAGTGAATATGTTGTGTTGACCACGTGTTTTTGTGTATTTGTGGTAGGATCAAGTGAGGAAAACTGGTAAAGTTTATTAACGATATGTATATGTACATATATATACAGTAAAAATAAGAAAGAATGGGATTTCTCTAAATGATGAATGAGTGCAAAAAGATAAAAATAAAGAACAAATTATGCAAAAACCATAAAGTGCAGCCAACATAATCTAAGATTAAAAATGTTCACAGATAATATCTCGAACAGAATCACGTCGTACATTACCTACAACCTATATATATATATATATATATATATATATATATATACATATATATATATATATACATATACATATATATGTATATATATACATATATATATATATAATGTCAATGACAACAAATAAGTTCCTTGTCAGCAGCGATTTAATTACAGGCTTTGGCTTGATTTTGCACTTATTTAAAGATCAGAGAGTTGAGGTTTAAAATTATTAGTTATCTTATTTATATTTACCGGTAAGTGTAGTATCTTCCTGCTTTGACTTCCTTATCACCATGCTGAAAACAAAGAAAGCGTCACGTGATCTGCTGAAGCCTGATTGGCCCAATCGGATGGAGGAGGCGGGGCTTCGAGTTGTCAAACCGGTCTGTCTCGTGCAGTCTTTCAGACGCTCTTACGGCAAGACGACGTCGTTATTCGGTTGGGTTTCACCGTGAACTTCCCCTGGAGCGCCTGTTTCTGTGTTCAGGTGAGTTTGGAAACACAACACAGGCCGTTCGACGGTTTTAACTGAACTTCCAGAGCAGACCGGGTTCGTCAGGTGGCCGTGTAGGCCTGGAGGCAGCACCTGTTGTTTACCTGGCCTTGAGTCTTAGCCTGTCTTTGTGTCAATGGCTTCCTGCTTCGCTCCGTGTCTGCCATTTACTTTCAGCACGAGGACGTGTCAGCACTTGAACAGTTCATTCTTGGCTGTGTTTTGTGTTTCTGAGCCGCCTCCTTCCTGCTCACTAACCTGAAGTTGACCAGGAGGACCTGAGGACAGGTGAGCACAGAGCTGTCTGCAGGAGTTGGGCCCAGCTCAGACTGGAATGGGAACTATGCAGAGCATTTGAGGGGCAGATGGAGACGGTCCGGGAGCCGTGTTTTAAACCCACTCTGGGTTTGTATTGGACCCTGAAGAGCAGGCAGAGTGTTTGAGCTCCTCCACTTTGGATCTGTGGAGCTCTTTGTTTTGGTTGACCGCCCTGTGGTTCAGTGAGAGGAGGCCACTACAACCCTGGCAACAGCCTGCCTTATTTAAAGATGGAGAGTCATTGTTCCCACAGCAGCTGTTGGTTTGTGTGTGACCTGCCCCCAGACAATGACCCACTGACAGCTGTTCTGGTGCACCTCCTCCTCCACCACCCTCAAACATCTCCACCACCCTTTTTCACGGCGTCTACTAACTGCCGACCGAGTGTCGGTGTTATTGTGCGTTTGTCTGCAAGAAAGATGGATGACTCTGAGGGATTGTTCAAACCAGACTTGGAGCTGGCAGCCAGTGAACTTGGAAGAAGGGGAAGTGTCTGAGTGTGGGTGGGTATACAGTCCTTTCTCTTTTTTTCTCCCTGCTGACTGATGTTTGCTCTCCACAGGAGGTCCAGATGTCAAGGAGCTAGATTTCAGCTGAGATGCTGAGGTTGCATCTCTTCAAGAATGTGACACAAGAAGCAGTTCTCTCTGACTCGCTCTACCAGGTGGATACCGGAGAATCGTGACACACAGGCAGGACTGCTGCTGCCAGGATGCCTGTGGAGACGTTCCAGCAGCCTCTGAGGCAACCAGCGCGAGCTTCTGTCAGAGCTTCACCGCCTCGTCTGAGGCCTAAAGGTCCGGTGGGACCTGATTTTTACCGGAGGACCCCGATGTCTGCAGGCGCACCGAAACAGAGCGCTGTGGAGAGACTGGAGGCCGACAAGGCCAAGTACGTCAAGAGTCCGCTGGCTCTGTCCAAACAGCTGCCAATCAGGCCTCCGGAGGTGAAAAGGCCACTGTTGAACCCCAGCACACCGCTGCGTCCCACCAGGAAGACCCCCGCCCTGACTAACCCAAAACAGGAGGGAGTCCAGCTGGACTTGGAGCACCTCAGTAACCTCATCAGTAACCTCCCAGATGGACCACAGTCCAGTTCAACAGCATGGTCCGAGGAGAAGAAAGCCCCTGATGGTGCTGTCCCTTTCAGGACCCCCCCCTGCAACCCCCCAGCTTGTGTGCTGCAGATAAAGGACAGGCCGTGCCCGCCTCCACGTCCTGACTGCTCCAGTCCAGCTAAAGTCAGATTAAAAGCATCTGCACCAGCCCGGGGGGAGAGTCCAGGCTCTGCTGGGGCTCTGGCTGCAGGGACCGTACGTAGGGTGGACGTCATGCCTCAGCTGGGCCCCGGGGGGGCGGCCCGCAGACCGCCTCAGGTCATTAGGCAGCCCCTCCAGCCCAGACCTGTACATTCTCAGGTTCTGCTGCGCCCAGCTGCACCTCATCAACTCCTCCTCCACCAGAGACCAGCAGGTTCTCCTCTGAAACCTGTTTTTGCTCCTTCAGAGCCTGACGGCTCCTCTCCTGCTAAAACTCCAGCCTGTGCTTCACCTCCCTCTGCCCTCCCTGCGTTTCCACCTCCTCCTTCTCCTGCAATCACCCGTCTGTCCTCCTCCAGCTCCAGGAAGCGCCCCTCTTTGACCCGGTCCAAGTCGGACATGAGCGACCGGTACTCTCGAGCCGGGACGGATCTGGAGCGTTTCTTCAACCTGTGCGGCCTGGACCCCGCAGACCTGCAGGAGCTGAGGACCTCCAGCTCAGACATCGTGTCCCTCGCTCGTTTCCGCAGCGTCAGCGCCCCGGGGTCCGAGTGTGGAGGCTCCAACAGGGAGGGCGAAGACGAGGAGGACGACGAAGACGCCGGCAAAGCTGCCGACCGTGCTCCTTACACCGTTTCTGTTATAGAGAGGAACGCAAGAGTGATCAAGTGGCTGTATGGTCTGCGGCAGGCCAAGGAGAACACGACGAAGAGCACCAATTTGTAGCAGGAGGTCGACTCCAAAGAGAAACTGGTTCTCAGAACAAACTGGACGAGGTTCAGACGGATTAAGGCTCGTTCAGTGAACTGAAATATGCCCAAGGTGGAAAATTAGAAAATGTTGCTGTTTTTAATGGTTTCCATCACTTGTTTTAATTTGATGCCTAAATCAGGAAAATGACATTTTTGAATCCTTTTGTGTTTGAGTTGTGTTTATTTTTTGCCACTTTTTGTGATTTGTCTCCAACAACTGGGCCTGTTTAATTTCACTGGTGCAGCCGTGTCCAAGCGTTGTGCTCCGATCACGTTGTGCTGAACAGAAATATTTAAAATAAAGTGGTGCAATCCTCCGTGTGACGAGTTTAAAACTTCATACTGACAACGAAAACAGGTTTTCAGACATTTTAAAAAACACCAACATGTATTTATTGTATTTTTTTTAAATTGTCCACCAGTTTGATAAAAACAGCTGAAATATTTGTTCCTTGTATTCGTTCTGAACTCTTACACATAGAGCCCCTGTATGAATGGTATCCAGACTCAGTCGGTCTCTAGACGATTGTTGACCCGTCTCTCTTTGACAAACGGAGTCAGGCGCTGCCCTCAGGCTCGAGCACAGACATAATTGACAACATTTAAAAAGATTAATGGAGATTCTGCCTCTTTCCACACTGCTAAACACACACAACCTGTTTTTATTTTTTTTAAATTTCAGACTGCAACAGCCAGAACATGTTTTTAAGGGTCTCGGTTTAGTTCTCACTCGTGTGTGAATATCACGAAGTGATCTGAACCCAGGTCATAAGGTGACGTTTTAAATGTAAAACTGTTTGGTACCTCTGAATAATTAGATGTCTGAAAATGGCTTCAAACTGTTACTTGTTAAAATAAATCAGCTTGTCCAAAGAAGCCGTCCAAATACAAATGGGTCAAGGCATGTTGACTGTTTTCCTCCATCAGGTTTCAAAGGATGGAGGAAACCTGCGGCTCCACCAGAGGTCAGAGTGGACCACTGTTTGTGGCTCGGCAGCAGAGATGGTTTGGACTGGCTTCTTTCAAGAACTGCTTTTTCAACTTTCTTTGTCCCTTGCATCACATGTGGTACATGAGGTAGAATGAAATTGTGTACTCAAGGTCCCAGTTACACCCAAACATAGCAAAAATATAAAGTACACAAAAGAAACGGTATATAATGATTATAATATATACGCTAAACAATAATAATGTAAAATAATACGGTGTATTAAACGGCAGCCTGAACATGAGTCTGTTGTGAGCAGATGGATGTGATTATAGCAGCATAAAGGCAAGAAATCAGCAGCATAGTTAGTCATCACCAATTAAAGTGTTATTGCAGTGATTTTTATAGAGGACGCAGAAATATGGAGCTTTCTAATTTGAAAGAGTGAAAAGTGATTTTATTAATATTTGTGTGTTTTATCTCGGATGTTTGCCGTCAGTTAGCAGCAGGTAACTCGGGGTCAAACAAGCTTTTCAGAGAACTTCACCTTCAAAACTCAGTTTCTGGAGAATTCAATTCAGTTTATTTATATAGCACCAAGTCACAACACAAGTCATCTCAGGGCACTGAACAGAAACGTCCATGTATAAAAATAATAAAGACTTTATCTGAGGAGCAGACTGCTTTGACTTCAACTCCATCACATCTTGAGCAAGCATGAAGGCGACAGTGGAGAGGAAAAAGAAATCTTTAGAAGAACCATTTTCTGACTTTTGGTTGTGAAGTTTTTTATTTTCTTTCATCAACCGATGAGTTGCTCCAAGAACTACAGGTCCACACGGATCAGCTGAGGGTTCTGTGAGGCTACACTGTGTCCTGGACCTTCTGTCTCAGTTAAATTACACAACAAATCAAACTGCAATTAAAACCTCAGCAATGTGAATTATAAAACAAAGTTTTATTTTTAGTCAAGTCTATATTATTATTGTATTTTGAGTATGAACTTTTAATAAAATGTATTTATTACATTTTATTTCACATTTTTTAATGATCCACAACACAAGTTTTGTTTGAATTTGTTTTGTTTTTTGGTATTGTCCATTAGTAGAGCTGCTAATTTTTTTTTTTTTTAGAAATGTATTGTTTATAAAATAGTGGTTTTAATTTTAGAACAACAAAAGAATCTGAGCTTTTATTTTACAATGTTTATTTGTTTATTGTATTAAAATGTCAGGAGGGGAGCATTGGTGCAGAGGTTAAAGAAGATGAGCCTGTGATTGGAAGGTCACTGGTTCAACTCCTCGGACCAACAACATCAAAAATGTGGGTGGGATAGGTGAAACACCCACACCTGCCTCCACCCTCATTTGCCCCACCCTGGGCCCTTGAGCAAGGTCCTTATCCCCCACCATCTGCTCCCCTAGGTGCCCTAAATAGCAGCTCTCTGCTCCACACAGAGGACTGGTAGCTCTGGTTGTGTCATGAAGGGCGTGGTAGATGACATCATTTCCCATTGACTGGACTTGCGTAGCAGAAACGGGCCCTTGAAAGACTTGTCCAGGCCAAAACATATAAGATATGAGTTTTAGCTATTAGCAAAATGCTCTGCTACATGTGGTTCCTCTGGTTAGCCTGCTGCTGTTGTTGCTTGTTTCATTGTTATTTTTTTGATTGACATCATCTTTCCTTTGTGCCCTCATTAAATTAGGGTATGTTAGTAAATGTCTTTTTATACCTGAAGAATGTTGTCTTTTCCCCTAATATATATATATATATATATA